GGGGGGGGGGGGGGGGGGGGGATGCACTGCGGTTGCAAATGTGTGTCCACTGATAAAGTCGCATAATGCAACCAGCCCCATTTTGCGATCAGTTGAGTTTGAGTTCAAAATATGGCTGTACGTAGCTAACGAAGGTAAATTCTAGCATGATAGCAATGGGATGAGAGAGACGAGAGGAAAAGGTAGATATAGATATCGGCACCTTGGTCAGTGTAAATAAATAGGCCTAAATAAACTTCATGTCTAAAGATTCGATTTATTAAATACAAAAATAACGAAAAAAAAACAATTTGATTGCGACGACCTTGTTGGTGTCTTGTCAGAGTATTCGAATTATTTCACAGGGTTATACGAGACAGCGCAGTAAGCTTTTGTGTGGTTTCCATCTCTCTATAAAAGGACTTTGAAGCGGAAAACATATGACCTAGTTATTTTGTTCTGATCTGAATGTTTATCTAATACTCTAAGGTTCCGCGTCCACGCAAAGGCCCACAGAGATCTGCGAAGAAGAGGCAGATATGACAGCGCATGACATTCTCTTACAGTTGACCTTGTTTTGTTGTTTTTTCATACCCGAGACATTAACGGGTAAGTAAATTACATTAGTTATGACACAGGTCGCGAACTCAACTGTCCTCTTCGGTTCAGAAAAGATCCGTAGACTACATGTACAACTGTAGTTATATTTGCTGGTTAGTCGCCGCTGTTTGGGCTTCGTTTTGTTTTATTTCCATGGGCGTCTCTTTGAGGCATCCTGAGATACAGAAACTACTGGAAATGCTCTAATTGATATCAGTTACCTATGACACTTGGGGTGATTATGTTAGAAAAGCCCTAAACAGTACAAATCAAATATCATACAAAAATTCACTTTGACTCTAAAATAATGCAATAATGATTTACATTTACATCAAATTTCATAGTTTTTTTAATGCAGCAAGTTCAAAGATTCATTTTACAAAAGATGCGCCTTAAAAGGTGTGCATTTCTGATGAGTTCATTGAGCTGCGGGCAGGTCATATTTTAGTTCCGACCAACCCGGAAGTTATATTCAGGCTTTTATTATCTTAGGTGTACGAGCACATTTGAGCCTGCATGTCGAACGAACTTGTTACATCCTATATTATAATGCAAGGGATTTTCTTCTTAAAGACTTACGCCTTGCTGCTGTCCTACCCACGTAATGCAAGCTGCTTCACTGGCGGATCCAAGATATTCATAAGGATGCAATAATAGACAATTTTCTTAATAAAAATTTTCAGACGAGGGCAATTTTCACTACGCTATATATATGTTTGTACCATATTGGGTACAGGGGTGGAATATTGCAGGTTTCGTCACATTTCGCTCGTTTACTTATTTAGTTTTATTTAAGGTGGGGGGGGGGAGGCAAGGGAAGCAGTGGGGTTTCTCAGAAATTAGAAAGTCTGCTGTGCCATCCGTCGTAATCACTGAGATAACTTATAGAGTATCAAGGAGAAATGTCCAGAAAGGACGTTTGGGCAGACACACAGTCGCCAATAGTTTAGCGGTCCTTACGACATCGAACGTGTCGAAGTCTGATGAAACTTTAACGAGCTCTCCCCCATCAAGTATAAAAGGTCGTCTCTTTGCTGTATGAGACAGATCAAGAGGGAGAAAGGACATACGAAGCCGACAGAGTCCTTAGATCAGCGAGCGACTGTAAGGCAGACGCTCAGGCCGCCTCTAACCTGCAGAATAAACGATTAGAGTAACCATCTCGGTTGTTGCGTTTTGAGTCCGTCTCCGGCGAAGGCGCACGACACCAAAGCCTTCACGAACCTCACGAGAGATAGAAATACCTTTAACTT